GGTCGTGAGTGCTCTTAAGAGCAAAACTCGTTTGCTTACTGACAGAGAAATCAGATTCTTTGTAATGGCTGACACAACTTATGGTAGCTGCTGCATTGATGAAGTTGGAGCTTTGCATATTGATGCTGAATGTGTTGTTCATTATGGTCGAACATGTCTAAGCCCGTGAGTCATAAACCCTTTTCTTGATTTATGTAATTGCTTTAAATTCCCTTGTTGAAACAATGTCTTATTGCGAGGTTTTATGTTTTCACAGGACATCGGTTCTTCCAGCATTCTTCGTTTTCGGGAAAGCTTCCATAAACGTCTCCAGCTGCGTTAAGCATTTGATAGATTATGCGTCAAAGAGGGATAAGCCTATTATGGTATATGAGGCTAGTTTATCTTTATGAAATACATATTGATAAACATGTTCGGTTTTCTCAATTCTTTGCTTTATTTTCAGATTCTTTATGGACTAGAATACGCGCATGTCATTCCCCATATCCGAGAAGAATTAGGATTATCGAAGACTGGGTCTCAGTTGAAGTTATCTGTAGGTAATGTCTTGTGTTCATTCATTAGTCCATCCAGAGATCCTAGAGAACCCATGGAGCATCCGAGACCACTTAGCGAAAGTGATTCTAGTGATAGCTTATCCTCATCCAGGAGCTATAGACTAGGAGGGCTAACTTGGGACTTGCCAGAAGGAAGCAAAATCGAGGACTATTTACTTTTCTGGATAGGTTCTGACAGTTCAGCTTTTGCCAATGTAGTACTGACCTTCAATGGTTGTGACATAGGTATATGGCTCTATCCATGGATATTTCTTGATCTAGTTCTTCGTTTATGTCAAAAGCTTGAGTAACTTGCTACTGTCCATTTTTCTTAATCAAATATCCAATGGATTGACAAAGACATGAATAGCTTATCTTCTTGTTTATGTTTGTTTGTTGATCTTAGTCAGATATGATGCTGAAGAAGATTCTTTGGTGACGGAATTTTATCAACAAAGAAGGATACTTAAGCGACGGTATAATCACTTGTTTCAAGCAGACATTTTACATCACAATATGAAACTTTGTCAATCCTTTCCATCTTCTTTATTATCTCTGTGGATTTACATTTCAAGTCCTCATTTCAGAGCTATGTGTTGCAGATATTACTTGGCGGAAAAAGCTAACGATGCAAATATTATAAGTATTTTTGGGGGGGAACTCTGGGTGATGGTAAGTTCCTATTCTTTTGCAT